CCCTCCCCTTCAATTTTTTGAAACAGTTTGAGAAGAATTGGCATTAATTCTTTAAATGTTTGATAAAATTCAGCAGTGAAGCTTTCAGTGCTGGGCTTTTCTTTATTGGAAATTTTTGATTACTGATTGAATCACATTACTAGTATAGTTAATTGGTCTAGATTTTTAAATTTCTTCATAATTCAGTCTTGATAGGTCACGTTTCTAGGAATTTATACACTTCAAGGTTATCCAATTTGTTAGCATATGCATGTTTATAGTAGTTTACTATGATCCTTTGTATTGCTGTGATATCAGTTGTAATGTTTCTTTCATTTCGGATTTTATTTGGGTCCTTTTACTTTTTTTCTTAGTCTAGCTGAAGGTTTGTAAATTTTATCTTTTCGAAAAGATTTTAGCTTTGTTAATCTTTTCTATTGCTCTACTAGTCTCTATTTACTTCAGCTCTGATCTTTCTTACTTCCTTTTGCTAACTCTGGACTTTGTTCTTTTTGTAGTTTCTTAACATTTAAAGTTGCTTATTTGAAATCTTTCATTTACCCTACTATACGAATGTATGCCTATAAACTTTCCTCTAAGTACTGCTTTTACAGCACTGCATTTGTATTTGTCTGTTGAATCTCCATTTTCATTTGCTTGAAGATTTTTTTTCTCTTTTGATTTTTTCCTTGGCCGACTGGTTATTCAGAAGTGTGTTGCTTAGTGCCCATCTATTTGTAAAATTTCCAGCTTTCCTCATGTTCTTGTTAGTTTCATACAATTGTGGTTGGAAAAGAAACTTGGGATGATGTCAGCATAAATTTCCTAAGAATTGTTTTGTGATCTATTATATGATCTATGTGGAGAATATTCCATGTGCACTTGAGAAGAATGTGTACTCTGCTGCTGCTGTTGAATGGAATGTTTTATATATGTCTGTTAGGTCCATTTGGTCTAATGTATGATTCAAGTCAAATGTTTCTATATTGATTTTCTGTCTGAATAATATATCCATTACTTAAAGTATTAAAGTCCCCTACTGTTCTTGTATTGCCTGTTTCTTCCTTTAGATCTGTCAGTATTTGCTTAATATATTTAGGTGCTCCAATATTGTATGCATAAATGTTTATAATTGTATATCTTCTTGATGAATTAACCATCTTATCACTATATAATGACCTTCATTGTCTCATTATAGTTTTTGGCTTAAAGTTTATTTTGTCTTATGTAAGTATGGGCCAACCCTGTAAGGCCAACCTCACTTTTGTTGGTTTCTGCTTCCATGGAATATCTTTACCATGTCTTCACTTTGAGCCTAAGTACGACCATAAAGCTGAAGTGCCTCCTTGTGGAGGTAGTATATAGTTGAATCTCATCCATCCAGCCATTCTATGCCTTTTGATTGGTAAATTCAATTCATTTATATTTAGAGTAGTTGTTAATTTGTAAAGACTTACTAATGCCATCTTATTACTATATCTCTGGCTGCTTTGTAGGTCCATTGTTCTTTCCCCCTCACCCCTTTACTACCTACCTTTTCTATGGTGATATGCTCTGATTTTCACTTTATCTTCTGTGAATCTAGTAGGTTTGTGCTTTGTGGTTACCATGAGACTTTTAATCACACATAAAAACTCTACTCTTTATTGCCCCCTTTTATGTTTTTGATTTTACTATTTACCTCTTTTTATATTCTGAATTCATTAACAAATTACAGTAGTTCTTTTTTGTATTCTTGTTTGTTTTATGGTGTCCCATACATCTTGTAGGCTTTTTTCACTCTCTTTCATTCCTTTTTTCTTGGTTCTCCTCTGACTGGGAGGGAGCCCCTACCCTCCAATTCTCTGATTTTATATTTGCTTGGTCTATTCTTCTGTTGATGTTCTCTATTGCATTTTTCATTTCATTCTTCAGCTCCAGATCTGTTTGGTTTATTTTTAGGATTTCTCTTTGTTGGATTTCTCATTTTATTCATGTATTATTTTCCTAACTTGCTGAGTTCTTTTTGGGTTTTATTGTAGATCATTGAGTTTCTTTAAAAGAGCTAATTTGAACTCTTTTATCAGGCAAACCACAGAATTCTGTCTTTGAGTTGAGGATAATTGAGATCTTTTTGTGATGTCATGTTTTATGGATTCCTCATGTTTCTTGGAGTTTTGCATTGCTGTTTTCTCATTTGAAGTAGTCACCTCCTCCGATCATTACTAGCTGCTTGCAGGTTGGAGATACTTTGTGTTGGTCCTGCTTATAATTGGGTCTTTCTCTGTCTTTGTAGGAATATATGTGCTCCATGCTTCTTGCCCCTTTGTGGCTTCATTGTCTTCTCTCAACCTTACAACTTACCAGGCTGGCTGCTGGAAACCTCTTTTGTCTTTCCTAAGATAATACTATAGCTCAAGTTTATGATTTCTCCCTTGCCACAGACTGTTTTGTTTTCTGCATGCTCTTGGTCTACCAAAACTGTCTCTTACTTGGGAGCATACACAAGGGGCTAGCTGAAGAATTGGGGGAGTTGTGAGTTTAACATTTGAAGTTTTAGGGGTGCCTGCAAGCCAGATAGGAGATCCTTGGGCAAGGTTTTCCCAGTGGCTTGTGTTGAGCTTCCTATTGGAGTCCTGAGTGCAGGCAGTAGGAACTGTGTTTAATTTTTTAAAAGTTTTTGTTTATTTTTGAGAGAGAGACAGAGTGCAAGTGGGTGAGGAGCAGAGAGAGAGGGAGATACACAATCTGAAGCAGGCTCCAGGCTCCGAGCTGTCAGCACAGAGCCTAATGTGGGGCTTGAACTCTCGAGATCATGACCTGAGTCAAAGTCAGACACTTAACTGACTCAGCGACCCAGGCACCCTGAAGCTGTATTTCTTTATATTACGATCTCCTCTTCCCACCCAGTCAGGCAGGTACTGCCTCAATACTATGGGTGCTGCAGTAGACAAACAAGTTTCTTCAGCAGCATCCTATACAGGTGGGAAAGCTGGGAAAATCACCCACTATTTTACCTGAAGAAGTCATTGCTAGTTAGTTCAGCAACATGGTGTGCTGCCTTGGGGAAGAGGTGGCACTGGTGAAGTTCATCTTACAACCACCACCACCACCACCACCCCCTTTTGTTTTGTTTTTTTTTCTCCAACAGAATGCTAGACTCTTTCCTCAGGAAATCTGAAGTTCTGCAAAAGCTCTCTCATCTGTGTGTCTGCTCAAATCAGCACTCTCTAGATTTACCCTGAATGCACCCAAGAGGGGCGGGGGCTGGTTCACAGACTTCTGCTGTTTCCACCTTCTGTACAAAGGACTTTCAGTGTATTACTTTATGTGGTAAGTGAGACTCCTCTCAGGTCGCTTAGCTTATGGTGTTGGATCTCACAACAACCACAGAGGCCCTTTTTCTTATAGGTGGATGCTGAATTTTAGTTGTTAAACTTGGAGGCCAAATGAAGGCAGGCATCTTATACTGTCATGATGCTGAGGTCATTTCTCAAAATTAAAATTTCCATGAAGGAGCTATCCTATCTTTATTTTTACCTCAGTATGAATTTTGCCTTCTCATACGTTACAATCTTGTATTTTCTTTATAAAGATGAATTATCCCTTGCTCTATAAGAAATAGACATTACTCAAATTTTTCTTATATTCATTTACATGAATATCTTTTTTCCCATTATGATGTCTATGATGTTGAATAAGACATGGATACTAGTTAAAAATTTTTCTCTAAAAAATTTTTGAAAAGATAATAATAATGACGAAGGCTAATACTATGCAAGTTTTATTATGTGATAGGCACAAATGTAGAATCCACATAACAAGCCTCTGAAGTGAACGAATTATATATATATGCATATAAAAGGACCTGGAAGAATAAGTTGGTTAACATTTGGGAAACAACTGGGTCAAGAATTTTGGTCAAAGGGAAGGATTTATAATGTACAAATCTTTAAAAGCAGAAGAGATCCCACACATTTTATCTGAAATGAACAATAAAAAATAAAGCAGACACATTCAAAAGGGGCCATTAAGGTAACTCTTTATAATGGTAAAATTTTCAATATTTGACAAAATAGGGGGTTGATAAAGACAGGTGAATACTTTGAAGCCAATAAAAGAGTAACCAATATATTTACAACAAATATTAAACCTGGTTATAGTATATCACAGTAACACTTTCTGTCAAAAACAATGATATGTAATCTTAAAGGGTTTGCTCCAAAAGTTTGACAATGATTGTCTATGACTGGTATGAATACAGATAACTATCTATTTTTGTTCATATCTACAGTAATATAGAGAAAAATTATTTTGCAAAGAGTATAAACTTTAAAAAAGGAAAATAAAGCAATCTTCCAAAACAAAAGATACAGATTCACAAGCTATTAAAGGATACTTAAAAGTAACAGTAACTTAACACAAACAAAATGGAACACAGATACAAACACAGATACACAAATTTAGAAAACAAAGACTGACCTGATATCCATGCTTTATATGTATAAAAATATAACTCACCATCAAACAGGCAATAAAAAAATACAAAAATAGATATAGTTTTTAAATAAATGGTATTCATATGAGAAACAGGGAGAAGGGTAAATTTAGACCCTCAATAAATAATTTAAAATAATTTTGAGATGGATCAGTAATTCTGTATCATGTACAAAAAATTAAGAATATTAAAAAACCCCCAAAATAGCAGGATTAGCCCCCAAATGAATTTTTCAATGTTTAAAATAAAGGCAAATACAATAAATGGTTTTTAATTTTTAATATTCACAAGTATGAAATTTCCAAAAATAATGAAAGAATGAATATAGATATCTTCAGAGTGGTTTTTCTTTTCCTGTATAAATTCTCTCAGACTAAGTGGTAAAGCATAACTAAGGCATCCGTACCTTAATTACATTTGTAGTGACTCTCCCTAGTATAAATTTTCTTTTCTGTTGTGTCCTTCCTTAACCACAAATTCTCACTTATAGAGTTTCCAATTCACAGATCTACTCACCAGTATGACTCTTTTTATGTTGCTGAACTTCTGAACCTCTGCCAAAAGTCTTTCCACATTCCTTACATTCATAAAGTTTCTCACCAGTATGAATTTTCTGATGTTGAGTAAGGCTTGAGCCAGTACCAAAATTCTTCCCACATTCTTTACATTCATAAGGTTTTTCACCAGTGTGTATTCTCTGGTGCCGATTAAGAGCTGAACCACTACTGAAGGACTTTCCACATTCTTTACATTCATAGGGTTTTTCACCAGTGTGAATTAGCTGGTGTTGGATAAGTTTTGAGCCACTACCAAAGGCCTTGCCACATTCTTTACATTCATAAGGTTTCTCACCAGTATGAATTCTCTGATGTTGAGTAAGGTCTGAACCACTACTAAAGGCTTTCCCACATTCCTTACACTCATAAGGCTTCTCACCAGTGTGCATTCTTTGATGCTGAATAAGTTTTGAACCACTTCTAAAGGCCTTCTCACATTCTTTACACTCATAGGGTTTCTCACCAGTGTGAATTCTCTGATGTTGAGTGAGATCTGAGCCACTATTAAAAGCCTTCCCACATTCCTTACATACATAAGGTTTCTCACCAGTGTGAATCCTCTGATGTCGAGTAAGGGCTGATCCAAAACTAAAAGCTTTCCCACATTCATTACATATATAAGGTTTTTCACCAGTATGAATTCTCTGATGCCGAGTAAGGGCTGAACCACTACTAAAGGCCATTCCACATACTTTACATTCATAAGGTTTCTCACCAGTATGAATCCTTCGATGTTGAGTAAGGTTTGAACCACTGCCAAAGGCCTTCCCACAATCCTTACATTCATAAGGTTTCTCACCTGTGTGAATTCTGTGATGCCGAGTAAGGGCTGATTCAAAACTAAAGGACTTCCCGCATTCCTTACACTCATAAGGCTTTTCACCACTGTGAATTATCTGATGTCGAATTAGGCCTGATCCAAAACTAAAGGCTTTCCCGCATTCTTTACATTCATATGGTTTCTCACCAGTATGAATTCTCTGATGATGGGTAAGGTTTGAGCCACTACCAAAGGCCTTTCCACATTCACTACATTCATAAGGTTTCTCACCAGTATGAATTCTTTGATGGTAAGCAAGGTTTGCACCACTACCAAAGGCCTTGCCACATTCTTTACATTCATAAGGTTTCTCACCAGTATGAATTCGCTGATGTCGAATAAGGACCGATACAAAACTAAAATCCTTCCCACATTCCTTACATTCAAGGAGTTTCTCATCAGTATGTATTCTCTGATGCTGGGAATTGAAAGTGGGCATGTCTTCAGAAGTAAATATCATTTGACTGAAATGTCCTTCCTGAGATTCCTGTTTTCTCTCAAACTGGCTTTTACATTCCCAATCACCTCTGAAACTTGAATACTCAATGCTGTTTTTTATAAGTCTTTCCATTATCTCTCATCAGGATGATTCTATTCCATAAATATCCTTTTTCAGAAATAATTTCTTGGTCTCAACCTTGATTCACAGTCTGAAAGAAAATATAAAAGCAAACATTCACTTTTTTTGTGTTCTGGGAGGAAAAAACTTTTATAATAGAAATGAAAAGACTTAACTGAAACTAATTTTCATAAAAAGTGTGTAGTTTATACAGTTCTCAAATAGGATTGGGTAACCTTGACAAATAGATAAGGAAAGTAAAAAGAACCAGAAGTCACACTGGAAGGTGAAAGAGATATTTAGGAAAATAGATTAGTCAGTTGTTCCTAAAGAGTGATCTAAATAAAAATCCCCTTCAAACATGGGACCTTGATAAATATAAAGATGCCTAGGCTCTACCCCAATTTTGTTAGAGAATAAATCTAGTGTTATATACATTTTAAAATGCAAGTAATTACCAATTAACCCATCTCTTAGGGTTGTTTGGAGCACTGTATAACTAACTACCCCTATAAGAAAAACCTAGGATAGTCAGGTAACAAACATTAATTGCATAGAATCTGAAGGAAATAAAAGAGAAGGTACTCCAGATACAGCATTATCCTGATGAAAGATTAATGTGATGAATGAACAATGCAGAAGGAAGAATCTACTGTGGTTAGAATGTGGCTTATTTATGCCATTTGATAAAATCCATGTTTGTGTAGGAAGTCTATGAGGCTAAGCTTGGGAGAGCAAAAAAGGGGATGCAGTAAAAGCTACTGTAATTGAGAATCTAGTTTTAAAGCCCAAGAGAAGGGAAGAGCAGATAGAGGTAATGTGGTACTATTGGCAGATCGCAAGGATGCAGATAGATAAGTACTCTGAATCCCAGCTCGGGTGATTATTGAATGGTTCTGAAATCACACATAATGTATATATGTAGTTATATAAAGTAACTGCGCAGTGTTTAGTAGCTATTATTTGGAAGACTTCTATACCAGAAAAGAAACTAGGAAAATGAATGGATTTAAAGATACCAATAAAGTCCTTGAGCAAATACGTCAAGCCCCAAAAAGTGAAAATATCTGAGCTCCATTCTCTTCCTATAGCAATCTTGTTTGGGGTTGGCCTAAATGTCTTAAAATTACTCTTTGCATCTCCACTGTCAATAGACAATCTAGGCCAAAATTTTCTTTTATTTGGACACAAAAGTAGCATTTTAGCTAGCTGTCTGCCGTTCTAGTTTTCCATCCCTAACAGCCAGAGTGATATCAGCTCGGCACTTTCACGTTCAAAATGCTTCAGTTGTTCCCCACTGTTCTTAGGAAAAGACCCACAGTCCTTAACTTGGTCTTAAAAATTCCTCAGCAACCTGCCTCCTGCATGCCTCTTCAACTTGATACTTATTTCCCTTCAACAATAAACTACAGCTACACAGGTCTTCTCAGTTCTTCAAATGCACTAAACTTTAACATCTTCCGCCTCAAACACACAATAATTTCATCTGCCCTAAATTACTGTCCATACCACCCTCTCCACTGCCACCTCTCTTGGCTTTACAAGCTTCTGGTCATTGTTCAGGTCTCTGCTAAGTGGCAATACCCTAATAAAAATCTCTTATGAATATTAAATCTTAATTATGCATGTCTCACCTTTATCTCACAAAGCATTTTATTTTCTTCCATTCTTTGTGTTTTGCTTGGTAATGGGTGGTTGGACATTTGTCTCCTACAATCACAAATTTCATATTTGAATGTTTGCTTAATGTTTGTCTGCTACAGTAAAGCCAGCCTTCAGGAAGGAAAGATAACCAATGTATATTACTTGAATCAACTTGAACCCTGGCACATACCAAAAGGGCAATGCACATTTAATGAATGTCTAATATAGTAAGTTAGTTTCAAAATTCAAAATAAGTTAGTTTGAAAATAAACTTCGAAAAACAAGATTTCTCTAGAAAGAGAATACACTTTCTCTCAAAGAGAACAAGTGGATCACATGCAGTTTCTCCTGCCCTTTTAAAACCCTCAATGAAATGAATGAAATGGATTTTTAAAAATATTTTCTTTTTTTTTAATTTTTTAATGTTTTATTTATTTCTGAGAGAGAGAGAGAGAGAGCATGAGCAGGGGAGGGTCAGAGAGAGAGGGAAATATAGAATCTGAAATAGGCTCCAGGCTCTGAGCTGGCAGTCAGCACAGCCTGATGTGGGGCTCAAACCCACAAACTGTGAGATCATGACCTAAGCTGAAGTAGGACGCTTAACCAACTGAGCCACCCAGGCGCCCCCAAAATATTTTCTTTAAAAAAATTTTTTTATCATCCATCAGTCCTCAGTTTTTGTCAGCATTCAAGAGTCTCTCATGGTTTGCCTCTCTCCCTGATGGGTGTGGGGGGGAGGGGGGATGGGCATGGAGGAGGGCACTTGTGGGGATGAGCACTGGGTGTTATGTGGAAACTAATTTGACAATAAACTATTTGTAAAAAAAAATAATAAATAAAATAAAAAGAAAAATTTTTTAATGTTTATATATTTTTTTATTTATTTAAAAAAATTTTTTAATATTTTATTTATTTCTGAGAGAGAGAGAGAGAGGCAGCATGAACAGGGGAGGGTCAGAGAGAGAGGAGACACAGAATCCAAGACAGGCTCCAGGCTCTGAGCTAGCTGTCAGCACAGAGACCAACGCGAGGCTTGAACCAACAAACCACGAGATTATGACCTGAGCCGAAGTCGGACGCTTAACCGACTGAGCCACCCAGGTGCCCAATGTTTACTTATTTTTTAAGATAGATAGAGAGAAACAGAGTGTGAGCAAGGGAGAGGCAGAGAAGAAGACACAGAATCTGAAGCAGGCTTCAGGCTCTGAGCTGTCAGCACAGAGCTCAACATGGGGCTCAAATTCATGAACCATGAGATCATGACAGGAGCCGAAGTTGGACACTTAACCAACTGAGCCACCCAGATGTCCCAAAATGGATTTTTTTTAAAAAAAGGACCAAACCTGGGGCGCCTGGGTGGCTTAGTCGGTTAAGTGTCCGACTTTCGCTTAGGTCATGATCTCGCGGTTTGTGGGTTCGAGCCCTGCATCAGGCTCTGTGCTGACTGCCAGCTCGGAGCCTGGAGCCTGTTTCAGTCTGTGACTCCCTCTCTCTCTGACCCTCCCCTGCTCACACTGTCTCTCTCTCTCCTAGAAATAAATAAAAACATTTAAAAAAATTAAAAAAAAAAAAGGACCAAATCTACAAGGTCAAAGAAAATTAAAGAGAAGGTAGCAGCAACAAAACCTTCTGAAGTGGGAAAGCACGAAGACAAATTAAGACTAGCTTAACAAACCAAACAATGATGAAACCTAACCCCCAAAATAAGGAAAACCCAGAAAAGGATGATTTATGCTGCAGAACCCCAGAAAGGTTTAAGAAATGGAGGCACTACATAACTATGCAAGTTTACCAGTTGGCTTACAAAAAGTTAAGTCAGGTTCATAGTGTCCACTCTAAATACAGGGAGGCAAATACCATATATTTGAGGAAATACTATACTGTAAAAGAGATTAAATAAACAAAGCCCCAAGGAACTTCGAAGAAAAACTACAAGGGTGCCTGGGTGGCTCAGTCAGTTAAGCATCCAACACTTGATTTCAGCTCAGTTGATGATCTCAGGGTAATAAGATCGAGCCCTGTGCCAGGCTCTGTGCTGAGCAGGGAGCCTTCTTAAGATTCTCTCCCTCTCTCTCTCTGCCCCTCCCCCTCTCATGCTCCTCTTTATCTCTCAAAAAAATAAATTTAAGAAAAAGAAGAGAAATTACATAGAGAAATGAGAAAAAGTTCAGAAACTATCATTAACATCCTGAGTGGGACATGAGAAGTTATTTTACATGGTAGAAAAATAGGATAACATAAAAGGAATATAAGATTAAAAAAGAGTTTGTAGGAAATAGGAAATGAAAATACCAAGTAGGAATAAAAACAAATAATTACAAAGATTAAAATATAAAATATGTCTCTTTAAAAAGTACAAAAAGATATGGAAATGGAAAACAAATGAAAATTAGAAGGTCATGCAAGGCAGCTGCATATCTAATGGAAGAGATCATTTTTAAAAGTGTCCTCTGCTGGGGTACCTCAGTGGCTCAGTTGGTTAAGCATTAGACTTTGGCTCAGGTCATGGTCTCACGGTTCGTGAGTTTGAGCCCCACAGCAGGCTTTATGCTGACAGCTCAGAGCCTGGAGCCTGCTTTTAGATTCTGTGTCTCCCTTTCTCTCTGCCCCTCCCCTGCTTGTGCTCTCTCTGTCTCTCTCTCAAGAATAAATAAAACATTAAAAAAATTTTTTTAAGTGTCATTTGTCAAATGTCAGACAGAGTGGTAGAAGTAATGAAGAAATCTGAAAATCATCATTTTGAAATCACCAAACTAACTATTGATTCAGGCTAGGATCCTCAGTAAATTCTAAAAGTAGAAAGTGAATGGTTGTTGGGAAAAAAGATTTACAGATTTCATAGTATCACTCCACAGATTATTTACTAATTATAAAGGGAAAAATATACCTTTGTACTGGGAAGATTTAGTATTCACCACTTCTAACCTTAACTTATGAAAGCTGGCTATCACCAATAGTGTAACAACCTGACGTTATGTGCCTTCCCAATGTAATGCAATAAAACGTACACCATCCTATCACCTACATAGCATGCTTGCCATTTCTAAACCTCTGATCTCCAAGAGAAAGCCATCAGACAAATGGAGGTTGTTGAAACAATCTATAAGAAAATTGTCCTGAATTCTCTAAAACATTCAGTGTCCTATTAAACAAAAAATGAGAGCCTGTTCTAGATTAAAAGAGACTACAGAGACTCAACAACCAAAATAATGCATGAATCTTGATTGGATCCTAGATCAAGCAAACAAGCAACCAAGTAAATGAACAAAAAAACCCCAAACAAACAAACAAACAAAAAACAACATTACACCAGCTTAAAAAAAAAAACACTTTGAGGAACCACTGGAAATAATTAACATGAAATGTCAGAGGTAATATTAATGAGTTAATGTAAATTTTCATAGATTTTCTATATCATTGTTATTGTTTGGAAAATGTCCTTATACT